ACAAGGCATCCAGGATGTGTACGTGCTGTCGGAGCAGCAAGGGCTGCTGCTGAGGGCCCTGCAGCCCCTGGAGGAGGGGGAGGATGAAGAGAAGGTCTCACACCAGGCTGGGGACCACTGGCTCATCCGTGGACCCCTGGAGTATGTGCCATCTGCCAAGGTGGAGGTGGTGGAGGAGCGCCAGGCCATCCCTCTAGATGAGAACGAGGGCATCTATGTGCAGGATGTCAAGACTGGAAAGGTAATGGCTGGGGGTGGGTGGTGGTGCTGCCACGTGGCCTTGGCCTTGGTGGTGGCTTTTTCTGGGTGTGTGGGAGAGGTGGGCAGGGACTTCAGCAGCATGGAGAGCCACATCAGGTCGGCTGTCTGGTTGGGGGAAGGTACTATGTGGAGTGTTTGCCATCCTGCCTTAAATATCTCATTTGAAATGTTAGAACCGACCAGGTGTGGTGGATCACGCCTGTAATCTCAGCACTTTGGGAGGCTGAGGCGGGCGAATCACCTGAGGGCAGGAGTTCAAGACTAGCCTGGCCAACATGATGAAACCCTGTCTCTACTAAAAATACAAACATTAGCCAGGCGTGGTGGTGGTCCGAGTAGTCCCAGATACTTGGGAGGCTGAGACAGGAGAATTGCTTGAGCCGGGAGGTAGAGGTTGCAGTGAGCCAAGATCACACCACTGCACTCCAGCCAGGGTGACAGAGTGAGACTCCATCTCAAAAAAAAATTAGAACCTCCACTAAGAGGACAAGCGGGGGTTTAGGAAGGGGACCCTGTCCCACAGCAGACCTGGTTCCCAGCATATAAAGGTCTGATGGGGTGGCCAGGGAACAGGAAGGACCTCCTCCCTCATGCCCATATCCCAGTGGAATCTTTCATTTTTGCTGCTTCACTGAAAACCTTGACCTTGATTTGACCTCAGGCCACATCTCCAACCTTCTCTAAGAATCCAAGCTGAAAGTCCAGCTCGGAATCCGAGGGAGCATCCGTGTACATGACTTACTTCACCGTCCCTGGGGTGCCCTCCAAACTGTCCCATGAAGGAAGATTCTAGAAATAACATTGAGTACCTTCTCTGTGCCAAGAGCTGTTTGAGCTAGACGTGTGAGATGTCATTCACCCCTAGACCCTGCAAGGTAACCACCGTCAAGTCCACTTGACAGATGAGGAAACTGAAGCCCAAGGGGTGAGGTAGTTAGCCCACGATGACAGGGCCAACAGATGGCAAACCTGGGCTGGAGCCTGGCCTCCCGGCAGAGAAGGTGTTTAACCTCGCGCCGCGCCTTCCATGGACGGGCTGTGCTTCAGGACAGCTGGGCGGATCTTCCTCCCTTCCACCCTTACGGGCAGCGTCCCTCCCTGTCCTTGTCTCAAGGTACGCGCTGTGATTGGAAGCACCTACATGCTGACCCAGGACGAAGTCCTGTGGGAGAAGGAGCTGCCTCCCGGGGTGGAGGAGCTGCTGAACAAGGGGCAGGACCCTCTGGCAGACAGAGGTGAGAAGGACACAGCTAAGAGCCTCCAGCCCTTGGCGCCCCGGAACAAGACCCGCGTGGTCAGCTACCGCGTGCCCCACAACGCTGCCGTGCAGGTGTATGACTACCGAGAGAAGCGAGCCCGGTGAGCGCTGGCAGGGCAGGGTGAAGGGGGCGGCTCTCCACAGGTCCAACTCTGACTCCTGGCTGTCTCTGCAGCGTGGTCTTCGGGCCTGAGCTGGTGTCGCTGGGTCCTGAGGAGCAGTTCACAGTGTTGTCCCTCTCGGCTGGGCGGCCCAAGCGTCCCCATGCCCGCCGTGCGCTCTGCCTGCTGCTGGGGCCTGACTTCTTCACCGATGTCATCACCATTGAGACGGCGGATCATGCCAGGCTACAACTGCAGCTGGCCTACAACTGGTAAAAACGGGGACAGGGCTCGGGGGTGCACTCCTGGAATCCTAGCACTTTGGGAGGCTGAGGTGGGAGGATCACTTGAGCCTAGGAGGTGCAGGCTGCAGTGAACCATGATGGCCCCGCTGTACTCCAGCCTGGGTGACAGAACAAGATCCTGTTTCTAAACAAAAAAAAACCAAACCAGGTAAGCAGTGGGTGAGGGTTCCTGCTGGGTACAGCCTAGGAACCCCAAGAAAAGGAGGTGCCTGCTCAAGTGCTGGGCTCCTCATGAGGGCAGGACACCTCATTCAGTGCCGAGGTCAAGAGGGAACCCAGGAGTTCACGCAAATCCAGGGAAGGTGTGGGCTCACCTCTTGGAGTCAGGACTCAGGGATCCGGTAGCAGGACACTACCCCAGCTAAGCTCCCAGTGTACGTCCAGCCAAATGCTTAACTGCCAGGCTGTTAAAAGATGCATGGGACACAGCCGGCGGGAGTGGGCAGTGCGAGTGGGTGGCAAGAACACAAGCTCTGAAACTGACCACCCTGGCCTGCGCCCCAGCCCTGCTGTTTGCAGCCTATGGACGTGGACAAGGGACAGGGTGCTTTCCTCAGTTTCCCTATCTGTAACATGAGGAAGACAGCATTACCTCCTTCACAAGGCCATTGAAAGGATGCAATGAGCGTTAGAACAGTGCCTGTATTGGTCAGAGCTCAATAGCAGCTATTAGGATTGGGTAAGATAAGTCATGTACAGAAACAGCGTTCATGACTGGGCACGGTGGCTCACACCTGTGATCCCAGCACTTTGGGAGGCTGAGGTGGGAGGACTGCCAGGAGTTTGAGACCAGGCTGAGTAACATAGCAAGACTCTCTCTACAAAAAAATTTTATAAACTAGCTGGGCATGGTGGTACATGTCTATAGATCCAACTACTTGGAAGGCTGAGTTGGGAGAATTGCCCGAGCCCAGGAATTTGAGGCTGCAGTGAGCTATGACTGTGCCTCCGCACTCTAGCCTGGACAACAGAGACCCACAGACACCCTGTCTTGAAGGAAGGAAGAAGGAAAAAAGAAAAGTCGGGCGTGGTGGCTTATGCCTATAATCCCAGCACTTTGGGAGACTGAGGCAGGCAGATCACTTGAGGTCAGGAGTTTGAGACCAGCCTGGCCAACATGGTGAATCCCTGTCTCTACTAAAAATACAAAAATTAGCCAGGCGTGGTTGTGGGCACCTGTAGTCCCAGCTTGTAGTCGCAGATACTCAAAGGACTGAGGCAGGAGAATCGTTTGAACCCAGGAGGTGGAGGTTACAGTGAACCCAGTTTGTGCCACTGCACTCCAGCCTTGGTGATGGAGCGAGACTCTGTCTCCAAAAAGAATGTTCAACGCTCCCAAGCATGCCCCTCGCCTCTTAGCTTAGAGCAGCCAGTGCCCTGATGGCGGCAGACAGCTGCTGACATATTCCCAGGCACTATAGCACCGTAGCACCATAGTTAAGAGCACAGGTCCCAGAAGCAGGTGCCTGGTTCAGTTTTCTGGCTTGTCACATGTCATATGGCAAGTCTTGGGCCAGCCACTTGACTTCTCTGGACCTCTACTTCCTCATCTGTAAAATGGGGGTGGTGATCATCACCATCTCATAGGGTGGCTGAGCAGATTAAAGGAGAACATGTGTTAAGTTTTTAGGATCTTACCAGGCATATATTAGCACTCTCTATTGTGAGGGACCCTGCCCAGCCACACAGGGTGGGCGTTGAAGCTCTTCTCGGAGAGAGTTGCTGGCTGGGCATGATCACATGTGTAGTCCCAGCACTCTGGGAGGCTGAGGTGGGAGGGTTGCCTGAGCCCAGGAGTTCAAGACCAGCCTGGGCAACATGGCAAGACCTTGTCTCTTCTGAAAAAGAGAGATTCCTGGGTGAAAGCAGCTTCCCCATTCTGGGCCTGTTTGTTCACAGGCACTTTGAGGTGAATGATCGGAAGGACCCCCAAGAGACGGCCAAGCTCTTTTCAGTGCCAGACTTTGTAGGTGATGCCTGCAAGGCCATCGCATCCCGGGTGCGGGGGGCCGTGGCCTCTGTCACTTTCGATGACTTCCATAAGAACTCAGCCCGCATCATTCGCACTGCTGTCTTTGGCTTTGAGACCTCAGAAGCCAAGGGCCCTGACGGCATGGCCCTGCCCAGGCCCCGGGACCGGGCTGTCTTCCCCCAAAACGGGCTGGTGGTCAGCAGTGTGGATGTGCAGTCGGTGGAGCCTGTAGATCAGAGAACCCGGGACGCCCTGCAGCGCAGCGTCCAGCTGGCCATCGAGATCACCACCAACTCCCAGGAAGCAGCGGCCAAGTGAGTGAGGCTGGGAGCTCGGCTGCCCATAATGCCCATGGCAGGCCACTGCTGGGACCTGGATAACCTGGCATCCCCTGTGGACTGCCTGCTGCCATCTCTACCCCCAAGGATCTATTCCCTACCCGACAGATCTGGTGACCCACTTAAAATGTGAATCAGGCTGGGCGCCGTGGCTCATGCCCGTAATCACAGCACTGTGAGAGGCTGAGGCAGGAAGATCACTTGAAGCCAGGAGTTTGAGGCTGCAGTGAGCCATGATTGCACCACTGCACTCCAGCCTGAGCAACAGGCCTGGGAGACTGACCCTATCTCAAAAGAAAGAAAGAAAAAGAAAAAAAAAAAAAGCACGTATCAGATGCGATTCCTGCAGCCTCTCATCTTGCATGTGATAAAACCCAAACTCTGTCCTGCAGGTCCAGCCGACCTCCCCCAATTTGCCTTCTAGCCTCCGCCTTCCATGTTCCTTGCCCCCAGAACTTGTTCCAGCTGACATGTTCCAGCCCCACTGGCTTCCTCTGCTCCTTCAATGCACAGTTTGGACCCACCTGAAGGCCTTTTGCAATGGCTTTTCCTGCTGCCCAGAAAGCTTCCCCCCACCAGCCCCCAGGCTCCCTTCCAGGCAGGCTCCTCCTAGTTTCAGCCCAAAGATCCCCTCCTTGGGGAACCGTTTTCTTTCTCTCACAGCTGAATAGCAACCTCTTTGCCTGGTCTCTCCCACTTTACTACCTTCAAGATACTTGTCACTGTCTGAAATCCTCCTTGTGTACTTGTTTTTTCCCCCACTCAAGTGGCGTGAAAGCAGGGACTACGGTCATGCCTGCATTTGTCGGGCCCAGAATGACACTGGCTTGTGACGCATATACCATTCTGGGTTGAGTTGAGTATCGGGTGCCCTCTAGGGGCCGGGGTCTGTCCCGGGCACCAGTTTCGTTGGTGGTCTCTGCCCTTGGCGCTCCTGTTCCTGCTCCAGCCCCATGCCAGCCTCTCACCTGCACTCCTCCGTCTCCAGGCACGAGGCTCAGAGACTGGAGCAGGAAGCCCGCGGCCGGCTTGAGCGGCAGAAGATCCTGGACCAGTCAGAAGCTGAGAAAGCTCGCAAGGAACTCTTGGAGCTGGAGGCTCTGAGGTGGGTTAAAAACTAGAGGAGGAGACTGGCAGGGGCTGAGGGTCTTGGGACGGCAGCCAGTGGGGGCAGTAGGCCAGGGTTGGGGGGTGTGGATGAGACAGTGCATGGCTACAGCATAAGTCAAGGCCGTGGGGGGACTGAGCTGTCTCCCGGGTCTTACCTGACTCTGTCTTCTCTCCAGCATGGCCGTGGAGAGCACCGGGACTGCCAAGGCAGAGGCCGAGTCCCGTGCAGAGGCAGCCCGGATTGAGGGAGAAGGGTCTGTGCTGCAGGCCAAGCTGAAAGCACAGGCCTTGGCCATCGAGACGGTGAGTAGGAGGAGGCATCGAGAAGCGGGTGGCCTTGAGACCTGGAAAAGACCCATTCCCTACAGTCCCTGAGACTGTATAGGACACCAGGTCCCCCAGCATCCTATCCAAGTACTTTGTATTTGACAAAGTCCTTTGCCTTGTAGGAGTCATTGACTCCATCGCTGGAAGGTAAGGATTAGAACACCCATTTTGCAGCTGGGCGCTTATGCACTGTCCACCTTGGCACAAGCGCTGCGTGTGCTTCACACGCATGATCTTATTTAATGCTCGAAATCCCATTAAGAGGCCGGGTGCTCACGCCTGTAATCCCAGCACTTTGGGAGGCCGAGGTGGGTGGATCACCTGAGGTTAGGAGTTCAAGACCAGCCTGGCCAATATGGTGAAACCCCATCTCTACTAAAAATACAAAAAATTAGCTGGGTGTGGTGGCATGCGCCTGTAATCCCAGCTACTCATTAGTCTGACGCAGGAGAATCGATTGAACCCAGGAGGTGGAGGCTGCATATTGCCGACATTGTGCCACTGCACTACAGCCTGGGCAACAAGAGCAAAACTCCACCTCAAAAATAAATAAATAAAAATAAATGTAAAAAGAGACCTGGGCCAGGCGCGGTGTCTCAAGCCTGTAATCCCAGCACTTTGGGAGGCCAAGATGGGCGGATCACGAGGTCAGGACCTCGAGACCATCCTGGCTAACACGGTGAAACCCCGTCTCTACTAAAAAAAATGCAAAAAATGCCGGGCACGGTGACTCAAGCCTGTAATCCCAGCACTTTGGGAGGCCGAGATGGGCGGATCACGAGGTCAGGACCTCAAGACCATCCTGGCTAACATGGTGAAACCCCGTCTCTACTAAAAAATACAAAAAGCTAGCCAGGCGAGGTGGCTGGCGCCTGTAGTCCCAGCTACTTGGGAGGCTGAGGCAGGAGAATGGCGTAAACCCGGGAGGCGGAGCTTGCAGTGAGCAGAGATCCGGCCACTGCACTCCAGCCTGGGCGACAGAGTGAGACTCCATCTCAAAAAAAAAAAAAAAAAAAAAAAAAAGAGACCTAGTGTGGTGCCTCATGCCTGTAACCCCAGCACTTTGGAAAGCTGAGGTGGGAGGATCATTTGAGGTCAGGTCGAGACCAATTCAAGACCAGTCTGGGCAACATAGCAAGACCTCATCTCTACAAAAACAAAATTTAATTGGTTGGGTATGGTGGCATGTGCCTGTAGTCCCAGCTACCCAGGAGGCTGAGGCAGGAGGATCCTTTGAGCCAGGAGTTCAAGGCTGCAGTGAATCCCGATCTGCATTCCAGCCTGGGTAAAAATATAATGCTCTATTTTTCCCCTTCCAGGAGGCTGAGCTCCAGCGGGTCCAGAAGGTCCGAGAGCTGGAACTGGTCTATGCCCGGGCCCAGCTGGAGCTGGAGGTGAGCAAGGCTCAGCAGCTGGCCGAGGTGGAGGTGAAGAAGTTCAAGCAGATGACAGAGGCCATAGGCCCCAGCACCATCAGGGACCTTGCTATGGCTGGGCCTGAGATGCAGGTGAGAGTTGGGGAAGGCGTGTTGGTTTTAGGACCAACCTTGGAACCAGGAAGGCAGAGCCAAGGCGCAAAACACATCTGGAAAGATGGTGGGGAAGGGAGGGGTGAGTGACCTGTCCCTGCATCACAAGTCATTCACGCAGTGTCACGCTGCATCAACATCAGGCACTTTACTAGACCCAGCAGTGAGCCCAGAGCTTGGAGGAGACAGGAAATGGATGGGACACCAGTCTGTGACAAGCGTTTCCAAGGCAGTCAAGCAGGGTGGTCAGATGCAGGGGAGGTGACCTTTCAAATCAGCTGACTTAGGAGGGTCACTTTGAAGTGGCCAGGGTTTGACACCCATCTAAACTTCCTCCTGTTCTCGCCTTCCAGGTGAAACTGCTCCAGTCCCTGGGCCTGAAATCAACCCTCATCACCGATGGCTCCACTCCCATCAACCTCTTCAGCACGGCCTTTGGGCTGCTGGGGATGGGGCCCGAGGGTCAGCCCCTGGGCAGAAGGGTGACCAGTGGGCCCAGCCCCAGGGAGGGGATGTCCCCCCAGTCTGCTGAGGCCCCTCAAGCTCCTGGAGACAACCACGTGGTGCCTGTACTGCACTAACCCCTGATTAATACAATGGACGTTTCTGGGCATTTAAAATTTCAACGCTTTTCTCTTGTCTGACATTGGTTGGGATCACCAGAGAGCTTAATGGTGGGGAGGGGAGGTGCTCCTGACATCTTTTTTTTTTTTTCGAGATGGAGTCTTGCTCTGTCACCCAGGCTAGAGTGCAATGGCGCCATCTCTTTTCACTGCAACCTCCGCCTCCCAGGTTCAAGTGATTCTCCTGCCTCAGCCTCCTGAGTAGCTGGGATTACAGGCACGTGCCACCATGCCCGGCTAATTTTTGTACTTTTTAGTAGAGACGGGGTTTCACTATGTTGGCCAGGCTGGTCTCGGACTCCCAACCTCAGGCGATCTACGTGCCTTGGCCTCCCAAAGTGCTGGGATTACAGGTGTGAGCCACTGTGCCCGGCCGACATCTTTAGATAGTTACAGGAGACTGTTCTCCATAAAGGGGAGAGGACCCCAAGGCAGGGGGAGGATGAGCTGGAAGTCACCCAGTAGGAATGTGGCCCCAAAGCTTTGTGCACGGAGTGGCTGCCGGCTTCCTAGAGCCCAGATAGGGGCGATGATGCCACAGGTAGGGCCATGGGGCCCACACTGGCAACATCTCACCACCAGTTCTCCAGGAGCCCAGCTCCCCGGTAGCTCTCAGCGTCTAACCCTTCAGCTGTGGCAGATGCAGCCCAGCTTCCCATCGGGGAGGCGCTCTCTGGCGCCACCTGCTGGTAGTGCCCGCAGCGCCATCGGATGTGCCAGGCTTGCAGCCGGTGCTGTGCACTTGTCCCTTCCCAGGTCGGGATGTCAGGTTGGGGAGGAGGACCCTGCCTAGGGCAGTAGAAATTGGGCATCTCCTTGAGCTTCTGGTCTGGGCTCTTTGGGAGCACTGAAGGGGGGTTGCCCTTATCCTACCCTCTCCCCCACAACCAGTAAGGGGTCCTCATTTGAGAGAAGGATCCAGGTGTAGTCAGCCTGGGTGCACCAGCCCTTTGGGGCCAGGTAGAGTTGTAGGTGACAGGCCCGCCCCATCTCTGCCGAGGAAGTAAAAAGATTCTAGGAACTGAGTGTGGGAGCTTAGGCCTGTAACCCCAGCACCTTGGGAGGCCAAGGAACAAGGATCACTTGAGACTAGGAGTTCAAGACCAGCCTGGGCAACATAGTAAGACCCCCATCTCTACAAAAAAAAAAAGGCCAGATATTGTGGCATGCATCTGTGTTCCCAGCTACTTGGGAGGCTGAGGTGAGAAGATTGCCTGAGCCCAGAAGTTGGAGGCCACAGTGAGCTATGATCATACCACTGCGCTCCAGCCTGGGTGACAGAGGGAGACCCTGTCTCTATAAAAACCCCCTAAAAGCCTCCCTAACTCCCTCATCTTTCCCTTCCTGTAATATTTAGTGGAAAAAGCCCTATCCCCACTGAACTCACCTCCCTCCCTCTCTGCCCTGCCCCTGACCAGCTGCATGTTGCTGGAGGAGGAAAACCCCGCGGAGCTGACTGATCTTATTTTAAGCTCATGGGAACAAATATTGAGGGAGGTGCAGCTCCTCTGACTGTGCTGCTCTGTCTTGTGTGCGATCCGCTTCGAGACAACCATTCACACCACCTCTCCTCTCAGCCACCTACACCCCCTGCCCACTTTCTCTCACCTCTTTGAGAAAATAGAAGCAAATTGGGTAGGAAGGCCCTTTCCAGCAACAAACCTAACAAACTGCTGGCATCTGTACTCTGTCCTCCCTCCTGTTCCCACCCTGGGTTCCTCTCCTTGGGCTCTAGGAGGGAGGGCTGCATTCCTTCCCTGATTGCCATCCTCTCCTGTGCTGTCAATTTTTTTTTTCCTTTTTTTTTTGAGACTGAGTCTCGCTCTGTCGCCTAGGTTGGAGTGCAGTGGCGTGATCTCAGCTCACTGCAACCTTTGCCTCATGGATTCAAGTGATTCTCCTGCCTCAGCCTCCCGAGTCGCTGGGGCGACAGTCATGCACCACCATGCCCTGCTAATTTTTGTATTTTTAGTAGATATGAGGTTTTGCCATGTTGTCCAGACTGGTCATGAACTCCTGACCTCAAGTGATCCACCTGCCTCGACCTCCCAAAGGGCTGGGATAACAGGTGTGAGCCACTGCACCCAGCTGATATGCCAACAATTTCTTCTCTCCTGCATCATCATCATCAGGATATAGACATGTCTACTCTGTCCATATAAAACAACTCCCTTAACCCTATGAGCCCGTCTACCTCCCACCTCTCCTTTTTCCATAACAGCTAAATTTTTCCAGAGTTCTCTGTGGTCTCATTTTACATTCCTCATCTCTCATCTCTTCAAACCACTCCAGATAGGGCCAGGTATGGTGGCTCACGCCTGTAATCCCAGCACATGGTAAGACCCTGTCTCTACTAAAAATACAAAAATTAGCCAGGTGTGGTGGTGGGTGCCTGTAATCCCAGCTACTTGGCAGTTTGATGGGGGAGAATCCCTTGAACCCAGGAGGTGGAGGTTGTAGTGAGCGAGATTGCGCCATTGTACTCCAGCCTGGGCAACAACAGCAAAACTCCAACTCAAAAAAAAAAACACCCCAGGTAGCTCCTGTTTCTGCCCCTTATGTTACGGAAACTGCTCTATTCAGTGTCACCAGTAATGTCCCGTTGCTAAATCCAGTAATTGACCAGTCACTTGGCACAGTTGGCCATTCCTCCCATGCTGAGCTTTCCTGATGTCACCTGTTCTAGTTTTCTTTCTAGCTTCTCTCAGCCTCTGATTTGTGGGTTCCCTGAGGCCCGCTTCTCATGCCGACATTCTTGTCCAGTCGCATGACCTTAGATCATCTCTATACCACTGACCTCCGAATCCATTACTCCAGCTCTGACTTCACCTAAGAGCTCTGGACTCATTTCCAATCCATGCCTTGATGTCTCCACGTGGACCTCAGTTGGTGATCAGGCTTTGGCTCTCCCCAGTGAAATGGGGAGACAACCCCATTTCGGGGAATGAGCGAATGACATCACATGCCCGCTCTTCCCTCTTCCGTATAAATGGGTGACCAACAATGTTCCAAGTGGAGGCTGCTCCAACTGCCTGGGTCCCAGGGAGAAAATGGTGTGAGGCACAGCCACGGCTGACCTGCAACAGACATGTGGCAGGAGTGAGAAATGTTTGCTGTATTAAGCAACTGAGACTTGGGGGGTTTTGTTACCACAGCATAACCTAGCCTATCCTGACTACTTCGTGTACCTCACAGGATTGTAAGATCCCATAGGTCACAGGGGAAACTGCTCTAAATTGTATGCATGGGGCTGGGTGTGGTGGTTCATGCCTGTTATCCCAACACTTTGGGAGGCCGAAGCAGATGGATCACCTGAGGTTGGGAGTTCAAGACCAGCCTGACCAATATGGTGAAACCCTGTCTCTACTAAATATGGAAAAAAAAAAAAAAGCTAGGCTTGGTGGCACATGTCTGTAATTCCAGCTACTCAGTAGGCTGAGGCAGGAGAATCGTTTGAACCCGGGAGGTGGAGGCTGCAGTCTGCCGAGATCACACCACTGCACTCCAGCCTGGGAGAGGGCAAAATCTCCATCTCAAAAAAAATTATATGCATGAAGAGGGGCCCAGCACAGGCCATAGAGTGGGGAAGACAGGACTTGCTGGAAATACAGTGAGCCTCTCTCAAAAAATAGATATATTTTTTAGATTAATTTTTTAACTTTAAATTTTTAAAATTAAATTATTAGGCTTAACCTTTTTTTTTTTAATGAGACAGGGTTTTGCTCTGGTATGGTGGCTAAATATTTTGAATTTCATCCCAGGGGCTTGGGGTTGCCCGAAGCAACCTGTTTTCTGAAAGAAGCCTAAATAATAAAATAATTGAATTTTTTTTTTTTTTTTTTTTTTTTAGAGTCTCGCTTTGTCACCCAGGCTGGAGTGCAGTGGTATAATCTCAGCTCAGTGCAACCTCTGCCTCCCAGGTTCAAGCCATTCTCCCACCTCAGCCTCCTGAGTAGCGGGGATTACAGGCATTTGCCACCATATCTGGCTACTTTTTGTATTTTTTGGTTTTTTTGAGACAGTTTTGCTACTGTTGTCTAGGCTGGAGTGCAATGGCACAATCTTGGCTCACTTCAACCTCTGCCTCCTCGGTTCAAGTGATTCTCCTGCCTCAGCCTCCCAAGTAGCTGGAATTACAGGTGCCTGCCACCAAACCCAGCTAATTTTTGTATTTTTAGTAGAGATGAGGTTTCACCATGTTGGCCAGGCTGGTTTCAAACTCCTGACCTCAGGTGATCCGCCCGCCTCAGCCTCCCAAAGTGCTGGGATTACAGGCATGAGCCACAGTGCCCGGCCCTAGTTTTTTATACCTTAAAAATTGGGCCCATGTCTAATCCAAAAAAAAGGTTTTTTTAGATTGAATTAGCCAGGTGTGGTGGCACATGCCTGTAGTCCCAGTTACTCAGGTGGCTGAAGCAGGAGGATCACTTGAACTCAGGAATTTGAGGCTGCAGTGAGCTATGACGGCACCGTTGGACTCCAGCCTGGGCAACAGAGTGAGACCCTGTCTCAAAAAACATACATACATAGACAACAGTGTGATCGCTGATGAAGTTCAACACAGCCAGTTTTTGTCTAGCACTAGAACAAATGACTTTTCTTTGGTTGAATATCAAAGTAATTGATGTGTGAAAGGACCTCTTTTATAAGAAAAATCTGTATCTTTCAACAGGAAACACATTCAGCATGGTAAGATGTTGTTTACCAAATCAGTTGCCTCTTCCTCTTAGACCCATAACTAATCTGTGTCCCAGCTTCCCTTGTCCTTAGACGCTGCTGCGTGATCGAGTTGTAGCCAATGGAATGGAATTGGAAGTAACAAGCGCTAATTTCCTGTCTTTCCATAATAACTTGGCTCCTGCAACCTCCAGGCACATCATCTGCCTGTATACATGATGCAAACAAGCTGGGCAGTCCCAGGAGCCACGTGTTGAAAATGGCAGAACCACAGAACAGGAGATGCCCAAATCCCTGAATCACAACTTGCAGGAGAGCTGTCTGCCAGTCGGCAGCATCTGATTAAGATTTCATATGAGTTAGAAATAGTGTTCTTTTTTTTTTGTTTTTGAGATGGAGTCTCGCTCTGCCACCAGGCTGGAGTGCAGTGGCACGATCTTGGCTCACTGCAACCTCCGCCTCCCGGGTTCAAACGATTCTCCTGCCTCAGCCTCCCAAGTAGCTGGGACTACAGGCATGCACCACCACACCCAGCTAATTTTTGTATTTTTAGTAGAGATGAGGTTTCACCATGTTGGCCAGGCTGGTCTTGAACACCTGAGCTCAGGTGATCCCCCGCCTCGGCCTCCCAAAGTGCTGGGATTATAGGTGTGAGCCACCACGCCCAGCCAACTTTTTAACTTTTTTTTTTTTTTTTTTTTTTTGAGACGGAGTCTGGCTCTGTCACCCAGGCTGGAGTGCAGTGGCCGGATCTCTGCTCACCGCAAGCTCCTCCTCCCGGGTTTACGCCATTCTCCTGCCTCAGCCTCCGGAGTAGCTGGGACTACAGGCGCCCGCCACCTCGCCCGGCTAGTTTTTTGTACTTTTTAGTAGAGACGGGGTTTCACCGTGTTAGCCAGGATGGTCTCGATCTCCTGACCTCGTGATCCGCCTGTCTCGGCCTCCCAAAGTGCTGGGATTACAGGCTTGAGCCACCGCGCCCGGCTTTTTAACTTTTTTGTAGCGATGGGGACTTGCTATGTTGCCCAGGCTAGTCTCAAGCTCCTGACCTCAAGTGATCCTCCTGTTTCAGCCTCCCAAAGTGCTGGGATTACAGGCGTGTGCCACCACACCCAGTCTAGAAATAAACTATCACGTTTGAGGCACTACACATCTTGAAGTTTGTTACAGTAGCTAGGGTTATTTTTAATCACAGAAGGAGAGCCTTGAAGACTGAAGACTCCTAGAGGAACAGCGGATGTACAGGTACCGATCTCCTGCCCTCAGAGGCGGAGTCATTGAGTGGAACAAACAAATGAAACTTCTTTCATAGTGGCGTGGTGATCATTCATTTGTTCTGAAGGCATATAGCTAAATTCCAGAAGGCTATTACTGCACATATAATGTGACTCCACTGTGTTCCCTAGATCAAATATAGAGACTTCAGGGTCCAGGTCAGCTCAGCTTTTCCCCACTCCCCACCTCCAGATCAAGGGCTCTGCAGGTTCCTCCTGAGCCCAGGCACCAGACTGACTTCAAGCCATGTCCCTGTAGGCCAAGGGGACTTAAAAGCCCTCCTGTGAGTCTTCAGTGCTACCCTACAAGCCTCAGGATGCTCGGGTGCAGATTCTTTTAGACTGCCATGCTCACACTCTCCTCCTCAACTCTGTTTTTTAAGATCACATATGGCCGGGCGCAGTGGCTCACGCCTACAGTCCCAGCAGTTTGGGAGGCTGAGGCAGGTAGATTACCTGAAGTCAGGTGTTCGAGACCAGCCTGACCAACATGGAGAAACCCCCATCTCTACTAAAAATACTAAATTAGCCGGGCATGGTGGCAGGTGCCTGTAATCTTAGCTACTCAAGAGGCTGAGGCAGGAGAATCGCTTGAACCCCAGGGGCAGAGGTTGCAGTGAGCCAAGATTGCACCACTTCACTCCAGCCTGGGCAAAAGAGTGAAACTCTGTCTCGGAAAAAAAAAAAAAAAAAAAAAAAAAAAAAAAAAAAATCACATATGACCAGGCATGGTGGTTCATACCTGTAATTGCAGCACTTTGGGAGGTTGAGGTGGGAGGATCACTTGAGCCTAGGAATTCAAGACCAACCTGAGCAACATAAAGAGACCCCATCTCTACAAAAAATACAAAAATAATTAGCTCGGGGTAGTGGTGCCGCCTGTAGTCCCAGCTACTCAAGAGGCTGAAGCTGGAGGATTACTTGAGCCCAGGAGTTGGGTGTTGTGAAGAGCCGAGATGGAGCTACTACACTGCAACCTGGGCGACAGAGTGAGACCTTGTCTCAAAACAAAACAACTCAGTGTAGCTGGATCTACACAGTCAGTCTTCTGATGTCACTGTAAATGGTTAGAGCCGAGGAGCCCAGGAGCCAGTCAGGGACATGGGAGTCAGGCAGGCCAAGGGCTCTGTGCTGTGGGGCTGGAGAGTGCTCAGGGGACTCACTGTGCTGGAGGAAGAGCCCACAGGAAGGAGAAAGGGCTGCAGGGCAGGCGTGGGGACAGCCCCTGATCCAGTCTCCTACCTGGACTGCACCAGGCCAGGTAGGGGGTACCTCATGAGCTGGAAACGCACCTCAGTTTTTTCTTTTGTTTGTTTTTTGTTTATTTGAGATGGAGACTCATCTGTTGCCAGGCTGGAGTGCAGTAGGGCAATCTTGGTTCCCTGCAACCTCCACCTCCTGGGTTCAGGCGATTCTCCTGTCTCAGCCTCCTGAGTAGCTGGAACTACAGGCACGTGCCACCACGCCCGGGTAATTTTTAGTAGAGACGGCGTTTCACCATTTAGCCAGGATGGTCTCTATCTCCTGAACTCGTAATCCGCCCACCTTGGCCTCCCAAAGTGCTGGGATTACAGGCGTGAGTCACTGCACCTGCTGCACCTCAGTTTTGTGCAGCAATAGCTTCTTGAAGCACAGGTCTGTCCCTGTCACTGTCCTGGTTTTTTTTGTTTTTTTTTTTGTTTTGTTTTGTTTTTTGAGACGGAGTCTCGCTCTGTCGCCCAGACTGGAGTGCAGTGGCCGGATCTCAGCTCACTGCAAGCTCCGCCTCCCGGGTTCACGCCATTCTCCTGCCTCAGCCTCCCGAGTAGCTGGGACTACAGGCGCCCACCACCACGCCCGGCTAGTTTTTTGTATTTTTTTAGTAGAGACGGGGTTTCACCGGGTTAGCCAGGATGGACTCGATCTCCTGACTTCGTGATCCGCCCGTCTCGGCCTCCCAAAGTGCTGGGATTACAGGCTTGAGCCACCGCGCCCGGCCCACTGTCCTGCTTTAAGCCCCTCAACGTTCATCCTATACGTGTCCCCCAAAAAGTGCGAGATGGTTTACCACAGTACCATTCACAGTGGCAGGACCAGGTTAAACTGATTTTTTTTTTTTTTTTTTTTTTTTGAGACAGGGTCTCACTCTGTCACCTAGGCTGGAGTGCAATGGTGTGATCTCAGCTCACTATGACCTCTGCCTCCCGGGTTCAAGCGATCCTCCTGCCTCAGCCTCCCAAGTAGCTGGGATTACAGGTGCCTGCCACCACGCCCGGCCTTCTATGCAACCGTTCAGAAGCCCGCTGGTGTGAAAGTGCTGTGTACAGTTAAGTGTTCAGGTACAGGC